ACGCCAGGATCATAAACAAGATCATCCGGGGGAGATAGATGATGATATTAGGCAGCAGAATAGGACCCTATGCAGCATTTATGGCCAGTGGATGATCAAGCAGTTGAGCGAGAACATTGAGCCAGGGTAAGCAAGGACAGGACCCGAGCAGAAAGAACACTTACTCTGTGGGAAGAAATGCCCAGTATTTCAAATTGTCAATTATAGCAGCTGACTAAGGTCTGGTTTAAAAGAAGTTGTTGGAAAAGCTCAGCAGGTCTGGCAGCATCTGTGAAGAAAGGGTCACCAGACTCGAAATGTTAACTCTGATTTTTCTTCACAGATGCTGCCAGACCTGCTGAGCTTTTCCAGCAACTTCTGTTTTCGTTCTTGATTTACAGCATCTGTGGTTCTTTCAGTTTTTATTAAGGTCTGGTTTAATGACAATTTTAGGGGGATCCAGGAAAGGCCATAGGGATGGTACTGAGGATCTTGATCATAACACCAAATCAAATGAGTTACAAGTCTTCAAGGTGGAAAATGTTGGCATTATCCAAAACAGAATTTGCATAGAATACAATGGAATCTTTCCATATGCTGTTGAGAAAAAATAAAAGCTCATAAAAGCTCTGGATAAACGTCAGTAAACAATAGAAGTAATTGTGTGCCCCAACCAAGTATATTCAAATGAACTTGCCTTGCATGGTTTTTGGACAAATGCTATTCTAAATTATACTGCAGAGATCAGGAGCCTGAACATAGACATCACCAGGGTGGCACATAGTGGGAAGGAGCATGCTTCATTACAGCTTCCCTAAAACTGACATCATTCCCCACCACACGGACAGCTGAAACCCTTAGAGATGTCTCTGTCACTTATGGATTCAACTATCTCAACAGCCTTTTCACTGGCCCCAAATCCTTGTCCCCTCTTAGCCTCCTTTCCTCTGCCTTTTTGTTGACTATCACTGGCATGATATGCCTCAGGGTGTATTATATTTAAATTCCTTGCCCTAAGCTACATTTCCCTCCCCAATCTTACTTCCTCTCAATCTGTCAAAGTTTCACCAGCCTAAAGTTGTCTCCTAAAAGTACTTCTTCTGTAATTCAGGCCCTCCTGTTTACATCCCCCCTCAATTCCCTTTCATTCTTTAGCTCTAAGCAGAACAGAGTTGTTCCTCTCAAGGAATCCTGGTCGTGACTCAATACAATATTCATTCCCACCGTCCTTCCCTTCACAAAGACAGCTGCACCTTGAGAGCATCAGGCTAGAAAATAGCTTTCATTGCTCAGACCTAGGAGTATAGGAGTTGGGACGTCACATTGAGGTAGTACAGGATGATGGTGAGGCCTCTTCTGGAGTCCTGTGTGCAGTTCTAATTGCCCTGTTACAGGAAGGATATTAAACTTGAGAGGGTTCAGAAAAGATTTACCAGAATGTTGTTGGGAATGGAGAGTTTGAGATAAAAAAATAGACTGGAAAGGCTGGGACTTTTTTCACTGGAGTGTAGGAGTTGATGGGTGACTTTATTGAGATTTATAAAATCATGAGGGGCATAGATAAGGTGAACGGCAAGGGTCTTTTCCCAAGGGCAGATGGGTTCAAAACTAGAGGGCATATTTTTAAGGTGAGAGGAGTAAGACTTAAAAAGGACATGAGGGGCAACTTTTTTTACACAGAGTGGTTCGTATGTGGAATGAACCACCACAGAAAGTGGCGGATGTGGGCACAGTTACATTTAAAAGACATTTGGATAAATTCATGAATAAAAATATTGAGAGGGATATAGGCCAAGTACAGGCAGGTTGGACTATTTTAATTTGGGAACATGGCTGACATGAATTGATTGGACTGAAGGGTCTGTTTCCATGCTGTTTGCTGTATGACTGGAAACAAACTTCCATGCTTCTGTTGCTAAACTAACTGTTGCAAACATGGGTTCCCAAAGTAGAGTGTTCACAGATTTATAGCTTTGGGATGTTTCAGAAACAAGATTGGTGGCAGAACTGTGCTCCCATTGACTTGCAGATCTGTATTCCCCAACGCTAATACAATGGGAAGCATGTATAATTACTGTCACTCACCATTTACATTTACATGGTGCAACCCCAACACCTATCGAATGCTTGAGTTGTACAGATTGAGGTTTGGGTCCTTAGTGTGTTCTGAATGAAAACAGCGGCTAGGATGTCCTGCAAGGGGTGGGGGAAGCAATAATTGACCTGTAATTGAACAATACAATGTAAGTGCAGGTGTCAGGTGAGGACAGGGTGCGGGGAAAAAGTAATTCCAAGTAATTGAAGTATTTGAGCTTTGGGCTGTAATGTGCTGTACTGCCAACATTCACTTCTGAAATAACTCCACGAAGCTTGGTATCCCCTCATTAAATCACCTTTTATTTACATGTGCATAGGACATGACACTGACCTAGCTAGCTCAGAGCTGGCTCCTAGAGTGAGCAAAACCCCTGACACTCCTGCTTACAACTGCCAGGCATGACTCCCTAACTGGACCAGGGTAACAGACCCAATCAGGGAACTCATATTCTATGAGCTCCACCTAGCTGACCATGTTCCAATCACCACAACTTTGAAGGCTAATATGACAGTAATGTACATTTGGGAACAGCAATGCCTCAATGTTTACTGAAGAAGAAAATCAGGAGGGCGAAAAGGGGGCATGAGATGGCTTTGGTTAAGAAGATTAGGGTGCATCCAAAGAGATTCTTTAAGTATGTTAAAGAAAAAAGAATAACCAGAGAGAGAATAGAACCCTCAAGGACCAAAGTAGACATGTATGTGTGGAACTACAAGAGATGGCGATGTCCTCAATGAATAATTCTCCTCTTTGTTTACTGTGGAGAAAGACATGAAGACTTGGAAACTTGGGGAAGTTAGTGGTGATATCTTGGGGACAGTCCATATCACAGTATGGGAGGTGTTGGAAGTATTAGAATGTACGAAGGTGGATAAATCTCCTGGTTCGGACCAGATATATCCAAGAACCCTGCAAGAGGCTAGGGAAGAAATTGTGGGGTCCTGGCTGATATACTTGCATCATCGTTAGCCACAGTCCGTAAGACTGGTTGGTAATGAATGTTATGCCCTTACTCAAGAAGCGCTGCAAAGAAAAGCCTAGGAATTATAAACCAGTAAGCTTAACATCTGTGGTAGGTAAGTTACTTGAGAAGATTCTGAGGGATAAGACATACGTGCATTTGGAAAGACAGGGTTTGATTAGGAGTAGTCTGCATGGCTTTGTGTGTGGGAGATCATACCTCACAAATTTGTTAGAGTTCTTTAATGAAGTGATCAGGAAGGTTGATGAGGGCAGGGCAGTAGACACAGTCTATATGGATTTGTAAGGCCTTTGATAAGGTTCCACATGGTAGGCTGCTCTGGAAGGTTAGATCACGTAGAGTCCAAGGAGAGCTGGCAAATTGGATACACATTTGGGTTGATGGGAGGAAGCAGAGGCTACTACTGGAAGAATGCTTGTCTGATTGGAGACCTGTGATTAGTGGTGTGCCTCAGGGATCGGTGCTGGTCCCATTGCTGTTTGTTATCTATATCGATGATTTGGATGAGAATGTACAAGGCATGATTAGTAAGTTGGCGGATGACACTAAAATAGGCGGTATCGTGGACAGTGAGGAAGGTTATCAGAAATTACAGCAGGATCTTGATCAGCTGGTGAAGTGGGCTGAGAAATGGCAAATGGAGTTTAATGTAGATAAGTATGAGATTGCATTTTGGATCATGGTGAATGGTAAGGCCTTAAGGAGTGTAGTGGAAGAGAGGGACCTTGGAGTTCAGGTGCACGGTTCTCTGAAAGTGGAGTCACAGGTATACAGGGGAGTGAAGAAGGCTTTCGGCACACTGGCCTTCATCAGTCAGGGTATTAAGCATAGAAGTTGGGAAGTTATGGGAAGTTATGATGCAGTTATACATGATGTTGGTGAGGCCGCACTTGGAGTATTGTGAGATAACAAGGTGTAGAGCTGGATGAACACAGCAGGCCAAGCAGCATCAGCGGAGCAGGAAAGCTGACGTTTCGGGCCTAGATCATTCAGAACATTGAGATCCTTCAAAACTAACCTTTCTTTGTACATGCCTACAGAACCGGATCATCCCCAATGGACCACAGTCCACATTTAGGCCTTCCCAATTTGGCCCCAACCGCGACAATGTCTACATTCAGAACATTGAGATCCTTCAAAAATTAGCTTTCCTGCTCCTCTGATGCTGCTTGGCCTGCTGTGTTCATCCAGCTCTACACCTTGTTATTCTCAGATTCTCCAGCATCTGCAGTTCCTACTATCTCTGAAACAACTTGGAGTATTGTGTTCAGTTTTGTTCACCTTGCTTCAGGAAGGATGTTATTAAACTGGAAAGAGTGCAGAAGAACTTTATAAGGATGTTGCCAGGACTCAAGGGACTGAGTTATAGGAAAAGTTGGACAAGCCAGGACCTTTTTCTTCAGAGCGTAGGAGACTGAGGGAGGATGTTATAGAAGTGTATAAGATCATGAGAGGCATTGATAGGCTAAGTTCATTCAGTCTTTTTCCCAGGGTTAGGGAATTGAGGACGAGAGGATATCAATTTAAGGTAACAGGGGAAAGAATACATGGGAACCTGAGGGGCAACTTTTTTACACAGAGAGTGGTATGCATATGCAGTAAGCTGCCAGTGTAAGTGGTTGAGGTGGGTACGTTAACAACATCTAAAAGGCATTTGGACAAATAAATGGATAGAAAATGTTTGGAAGGATGTGGGCCAAGTGTGGGGAAATGGGCTTAGCATGGATTGACATTTTGGTCGGCACGGACCAGTTTGGGCCAAAGGGCCTGTCTCCTTGTTGTAGGACTCTGTGACTCTATGACTGTGTCTTAAGGAGAAGACATTTAAAAGATGCAGAACAATTAAATGCAACGGATTCTCAAAATTTACCAACTCCAGCTGTTAAAGTGGTGGAAAAAAAGCCATGTTACGTCTAATAACCTTCACACTCTCTTTAATAGATTCCAAGCCTGAAAAACCTTCAAACCCCAAACAGATCTGGGCAGAGGTTGATATGCCTGAGGGGTCAGAGTTTGAGGATATCTGGGATCCAAGAAAACAGCCTGAGTAAGTAATTGAGGTATTTGAGCTTTGGGCTTCTGTGTTAACAGAGAGCATACAGTTTGCTCCATGCAACACCACTCATGTCAATATTAGGACTCAGCATTCAAAGCATTCCTCAGTTCTGCTCTACCTTTCAGGATGATTATGGTTGATCAAGGAGCTCAATATATCAATCCTGCCCTCCCCTCCATATACCTTTAGCCCCAAGAACTATACCTTCTTGAAAACACAATGTTTTAGTCTCAGCCACTTTCTATTGTAGTGAATTCCACAGGCTCACCACTCTCTGGGTGAAGAAGTTTCTCCTCATTTCACTCCTATAAGATTTATCACTTTCCCTTAAACAGTGACCTCTGGTTCTGGACTCCCTGACCATCGGGAATATTCCTCCTGTATCTAACCTGTCTAGTCCTATTTGAATTTTATATGTTTCTATGAGATCCCCCTTCACTCTCCTAAATGCATTCCTAACCTACTCAACTCTCCTTATCTGTCAGTCCTGCCATCCCAGGAATCAATTTAGAAAACTAAACTGAACCAGGTAATGAACCAGGCCAGGTGTTAGATTTGAAGGTAGATGAGCACTTTGGTGATAGTGACCACAATTCGGTTACGTTTACTTTAGAGATGGAAAGGGATAGGTATATACCGCAGGGCAAGAGTTATAGCTGGGGGAAAGGCAATTATGAGGCGGTTAGGCAAGATTTAGGATGTATAGGATGGAGAAGGAAACTGCAGGGGCTGGGCACAATTGAAATGTGGAGCTTGTTCAAGGAACAGCTACTGCGTGTCCTTGAGAAGTATGTACCTATCAGGCAGGGAGGAAGTGGTCAAGCGAGGGAACCATCATTTACTAAAGAAGTTGAATCTCTTGTCAAGAGGAAGAAGGAGGCTTATGTAGAGATGAGGCGTGAAGGCTCAGTTAGGGCGCTTGAGAGTTACAAGTTAGCCAGGAAGGACCTAAAGAGAGAGCTAAGAAGAGCCAGGAGGGGACATGACAAGTCTTTAGCAAGTAGGATCAAGGAAAACCCTAAAGCTTTCTATAGGTATGTCAGGAATAAAAGAGTAAGGTTAGGGCCAGTCAAGGATAGTAGTGGGAAGTTGTGCGTGGAGTCCGAAGAGATAGGAGAGGTGCTAAATGAATATTTTTCGTCAGTATTCACACAGGAAAAAGACAATGTTGTCGAGGAGAATACTGAGATACAGGCTATTAGACTAGACGGGATTGAGGTTCATAAGGAGGAGGTGTTAGCAATTCTGGAAGGTGTGAAAATAGATAAGTCCCCTGGGCCGGACGGGATTTATCCTAGGATTCTCTGGGAAGCGAAGGAGGAGATTGCAGAGCCTTTGGCTTTGATCTGTATGTCGTCATTGTCTACAGGAATAGTGCCAGAAGACTGGAGAATAGCAAATGTTGTCCCCTTGTTCAAGAAGGGGAGTAGAGACAACCCTGGTAATTATAGACCAGTGAGCCCTACTTCGGTTGTGGATAAAGTGTTGGAAAGGATTATAAGAGATAGGATTTATAATCATCTAGAAAGGAATAATTTGATTAGGGATAGTCAACACAGTTTTGTGAAGGGTAGGTCGTGCCTCACAAACCTTATTGAGTTCTTTGAGAAGGTGACCAAACAGGTGGATGAGGGTAAAGCGGTTGATGTGGTATATATGGATTTCAGTAAAGCGTTTGATAAGGTTCCCCACGGTAAGCTATTGCAGAAAATACGGAGGCATGGGATTAAGGGTGATTTAGCGGTTTGGATCAGAAATTGGCTAGCTGTAAGAAGACAGAGGGTGGTGGTTGATGGGAGATGTTCATCCTGGAGTTCAGTTACCAGTGGTGTACCACAAGGATCTGTTTTGGGGCCACTGCTGTTTGTCATTTTTATAAATGACCTGGATGAGGGCGTAGAAGGATGGGTTAGTAAATTTGCAGATGACACTAAAGTCGGTGGAGTTGTGGATAGTGCGGAAGGATGTTGCAGGTTACAGAGGGACATAGATAAGCTGCAGAGCTGGGCTGAGAGGTGGCAAATGGAGTTTAATGTGGAAAAGTGTGAGGTGATTCACTTTGGAAGGAGTAACAGGAATACAGAGTACTGGGCTAATGGTAAGATTCTTGGTAGTGTGGATGAGCAGAGAGATCTCGGTGTCCATCTGCATAGATCACTGAAAGTTGCCACCCAGATTGATAGGGTTGTTAAGAAGGCGTACAGTGTGTTAGGTTTTATTGGTAGAGGGATTGAGTTTCGGAGCCATGAGGTCATGTTGCAGCTGTACAAAACTCTGGTGCGGCCGCACTTGGAGTATTGTGTACAGTTCTGGTCGCCGCATTATAGGAAGGATGTGGAAGCATTGGTAAGGGTGCAGAGGAGATTTACCAGGATGTTACCTGGTATGGAGGGAAGGTCTTATGAGGAAAGGCTGAGGGACTTGAGGCTGTTTTCGTTAGAGAGAAGAAGGTTAAGAGGTGACTTAATAGAGACATACAAGATGATCAGAGGATTAGATAGGGTGGACAGTGGGAGCCTTTTTCCTCGGATGGTGATGGCTAGCACAAGGGGACATAGCTTTAAATTGTGGGGTGATAGATATAGGACAGATGTCAGAGTTAGGTTCTTTACTCAGAGAATAGTAAGGGCGTGGAATGCCCTGCCTGCAATAGTAGTAGACTCGCCCACTTTAAGGGCATTTAAATGGTGATTAGATAAACATATGGATGATAATGGAATAGTGTAGGTTAGATGGGCTTCAGATTGGTTTCACAGGTCGGCGAAACATCGAGGGCCAAAGGGCCTGTACTGCGCTGTAATGTTCTATATTCTATGTTCTATGTTCTAAAACCTGTGCTGTACTCTGTCTTATAGTAACAGCATTCTTCCTCGGATAAGGAGATCAAAACTGCACACAATATTTCAGATGAGGCCTCACCAATGCCCTGTATAATTGCAACAACACATCCTTGTTGCTGTACTCGAATCCTCTCGCTAAGATGGCCAAGATAGAAGACAGAGAGTAGTGGTAGTCAGTTGTTTTTCAAACTGGAGGCTTGTGACCAGCGGTGAGCCACAGGGATCGGTGGTGCGTCCACTGTTATTTGTCATTTATTTAAATGATTTGGATGAGAATTTAGGAAGAATGCTTACTAAGTTTGTGGATGACACTGGCATCATGGTGGTATAGTGGACAACGAAGAAGATTATCTGGGAATACAGCGAGATCTTGATCAACTGGACCAGTGGGCCGAGGAATGGCAGATGGAGTTTAATTTAGATAAACGCAAGTTGTTGCATTTTGTAGATCAAGCCACGGCAGGACTTACACAATCAATGGTAGGGCCCTGGAGAGTGTTATAGAACAAAGAGATCAAGAGGTACAGGTTCATAGCTCCTTGAAAGTGGAGTCACATTTAGACAGCGTGGTGAAGAAGGCTTTCGACATGCTTGCTTTCATTGGACAGAGCATTGAGTATAGGAGTTGGACATCTTATTGCAGCTGTGACATTGGTAAGGTCACATTTGGAGTACTGCATGTAGTTCTGGTCGCCCTACTATAGAAAGGATATTATTAAACTAGTAAGAGTACAGAGAAGAAATACTCGGATGCTACCTGCACAGGAAGGTTTGAGTTATAAGGAGAGGCTGGGTATGCTGGGTTTTTTTTTCCCTGGAGCTTAGGAGACTGAGGGGTGAACTTATATGTGTCTATAAAATCATGAGTGACGTAGAAAAGGTAGATAACCAACAGCTTTTCCTCATGGTAGGGGAGTCTAAAACTAGACGGCATAGGTTTAAGGGCATAGGTTTAAGGTGAGAGGGAAGAGATACAAAAGGGTCCAGAAGGGCAATTTTTTCACAGGGCGGTGAGTGTCTGCAATGGGCTGCCAGAGGTAGTGGTGGAGGCGAGTACAATGTTGTCTTTTAAGAAACTTTTTAATAGATACATGGATGGGATAGATGTGGAGGTATATTGAGCAAAGGCAGGCAAATGTGACAAGATTAATTGTGAAAACTGGGCGGCATGGACAAGGTGGGCTGAAGGGCCTGTTTCCATGATGTAAACCTCTATGACTATATGACAGTGATTCCTAAGTGGTCTCCTATAAAATTCTTGATAATGGATTCTAGTATCTTTCCCATTACTGATGTCAGATTTGCTGGCCTATATGTCCTGTTTTCTCCCTACCTTCCTTTTTAAATAGTGGCAATAAACATTAGCTACCCTCCAAAGTATAGGAATTTTCCACAGTCTATAGAATCTTGAAAGGTGACCATCAATGCATCCACTGTTTCTAGGGCCACTACTTGAAGTGCTCTGGGATGTAGAATTTCAGACCCTGGGAATTTATCAGCCTTCAATCCCATAGGTTTCTCCTGCACCATTTCTCTACTTATACTGATTTACTTCAGTTCCTCCCTCTAACTAAACTCTGCGTTCTCCATCGTTTCTGGTACATTATTCATCTCCTCCTTTGTTAAGACTGACTGCGATAACTAATTTGTTTGAAGTGGATCATTGTTAATCTCTACTTGATATAGAGTTATACAGCGTAGAAACAGATCCTTTGGTCCAACTCATCCATGCTGTCCAAGTTTCCAAAAGTTTGGCCCACATCCCTCTCAACCTTTCATATTTATGTACCTGTCAAAATGATTTTTAAATGTTGTGACTGTACCTACAACGATTACTTCCTCTGGCAGTTGATTCCATATACGAATCACGCTCAGCAGGAAGAAATTGCCCCATATGTCCTTTTTAAAACTTTCTCCTCTCACCTTAAAAATATGCCCTGTAGTTTTGAACTCCCCTACACAAGGAAAAAGACCTTTGCCATTAATCTTATCTATGCCCCTCATGATATAAACCTCAATAAGGTCACCCCTCAAACTCCTACGCTCCAGTGAAAAATGTTCCAGCCTATCCAGCCTCTCCTTATAACTCAAACCTTCCAGTCTCGGCAACATTCTTGTAATTTTTTTCTGAACATTCTCCAATTTAATAATATCCTTTCTATAGCAGAGTGACCTGAACTGTACACAGCAATCCAAAAGTGGCCTCAACAATGTCCTGTACAACCACACATGACAATTGACTCCGACACTCAATGGTCTGAGCAATGACAGCAAGCATGCTAAATGCCTTCTTAACCACCCAGTCTACCTGTGAAGCAACTTTCAGGAAACTATGTATTTGAACCTCGAGATCTCTCTCTTCGACAACACTACTCTCCTTAAAATAATCTCTCAGAATCCAAACAAGTTCATATTCCCTGTTCTGTCCTATTAATATATTATACCTGGTGATTATAAGACAAAAAGCTTATTAAAGCCAGATTAAAATCCTGTAGTACCCAGCAACTGTTCCTATAAGCATTATATATTATCCATTCAGTCATTTTATCACAGTCCCCAACATAGGAACAAGGAAACACCATTTAGCTCGTCAAGCCAATCATGGCTCATCGACAACCAGATACTGTATACTCTCCTTTACCCAATATTTCTCACTGTTTTTGGCTTGCCAAAGTCCATCTCTTTTAGATTTCGGAAAGATTCAAGAGATTGCACTTGTTCTTCTTGGAGCAGGCAGGATTAAGAGGTGACCTTACTGAGGTGTTCAACATTATGAAAAATTCTGTCAGGGTAAAGAAAGAAATTCTACTTCCACGTATGTCAGTAACTAGGGGTCACAATTTTAAGAATGTCAGCAAGAGAGCTGGGAATGCTATGAGTTCTTAGGATTTGGAATGCGCTGTCTGGGAGAGTGGTGGAGGCAGATTCCGCAAGAGGTTTCAAAAGAGAGCTGGATGTATATTTGAAAGGGATGAAGTTAAGGGACGACAGGATTTGGCTGGAGAGTGAGAGTAGCTGGGTGGCTCTTTAAGGAGCTGGTACAAATGTGATGGGTTGAATGCCTCCTTCCGTCCGGTAAAATTCTATGATTCTGTGATTTTTAACATTATCAGCATCAACAGCTAATTGCAGAAAACAATTCCAAACTTCTCCCACTCTGTGCACATACGAATGTTTTCAAATTTAAGTCCTGAAAGGATTTGCCTCAAATTTGTAATCTATGTTATCTCGTTTATTTAGATATGAAAAAAGGCTGGATAGACTGGGTTTGTTTTCACTGGAATGCAGGAGGTTGAGTGGTGACCTGATAGAAGTTTATAAGATTGTGAATGGCATGGATAGAATGGAAAGTATGAGGCTTTTTCCCAGGATAGAGGGGTCAATTACTAGGGGACACAGGTTCAAGGTGCAGCAGTGGGAGGGGGAGGTCTAAAAGAGATATGCGAGGCAAGTTTTTCACACAAAGGGTGGTAAGTCCCTGGAACGTGCTGGCAAAGGAGGTGATGGAAGCAGACAAAATAGCAGCATTCAAGAAACACCTGAACAAATACATGAATAGGGACACGGATCCTGCAAGTGAAGACAGTTTTAGTGTGGAATGGCAAAATGTGTTGGCGCAGGCTTGGAGGGCCGAAGGGCCTGTTCTTGTGCTGTGTTGTTGTTTGTTCTTCGTCCTAGACTCCTCAACCAGCAAAACTAATTTATCTCTATCTACCCTGCTGATTCTATTTAATAACGTGAAAACTTTGAACTAATCTTCGCTTAATCTTCCAAGTTATGCAAGACCTGCAAAACAAGGCTTCAACAAAGTCAAAACCCTTCAGTTTGGGAAAAGCCACATAAAGCTATATGTATAAACACAGACTGGGAACTGAAATACAAATTTTGTCAAGAGTCTAGTCTTGAGAACATTCTCAGCAAGCTTTCTCCTCCTAAATGCTGGGTTGCTCAATCTGTGCTGAGTGCCTTTGAATGGGTGGCCAGAGCACCCTAATAGGACAATTAGAAACAATCTATTGCATGTTCCCTAGGTAATAGAATGCAGTAGGTTCACAGGCAGTCTGTCTTTGATATATTTTTGAAGGAATACTGGGACATGATTCTCAAGTTGTCCTAAAACCTGCTTTCTTAAGGACACCAAGACTGATTGTGAATTTTATCTCCTGAGTTGCAAAGCCAAGATTATATGTGATGGGCTCAATGTTATGTGAAGAATAAACACTCTGCCTGAAATCCTCTTGTAATAACGTCTACATCTATCATTGAAGAAAACATTTTCCTAACTTGCAGTCATGTTTCATGATAAAGACATTATTTAAGATGAAAATTTCAAATATTATAACTTCTTTCCTTGAGTCTAGGTGTGTCTAATTGCATGCCCATTGGAGTTATATCATGTAGTAGCTCTGGAAGATGTCAACTTGTCAACTACAACTCAACAATCAATGCTGATATATGCTTTTAATTCACGTGACAGCTTTTTGAAAACCTTTTTATTCCAATATAGTGAAGTTTTAGTACAAATAATATTTTTCAAATATTTTTCAATTTTAACCAATTCCATCATCTCACTCCCATGCCATCCCTGTCCCATTCCTTCCATCCCTCTTAATCAGTCCGATTTATTGTTCTAATAGATCACACATTTTATTTTTTGAGAAAACATAAATGGACGTGGAACTTAGACTGCCGAAATGGCAGGCGAGCTTTGCAACTTAAGAAATCAAGTGCTGCACATTGTTAAGCTGTGCAATGCAACATTGATCTAGGGAAGCAGTAAGATCGAGAATTCGAGACTGAGCAACATACAGAATCTTTCCAGTTAAGGGAATTCTGCCTGACACCAGCTCCTTGAGTGATTGTGCTGCAGAATGTTATAAAGTTATAAGTGTCAGGATAGCCGAAGAAAGCCTGCAAACTGAAAGCATCCATCCCTGCCTCTCTCTCTCCCTGTAGAAAGAAAACAGAAAAACCAAGGAAGCTTATTAAAGAATTTTAATATGACCATCACCTTACAAACAACAATGTGTCATCATTGCAAAAGTCAAAAGGACTGTGAGAAAAATAACTTTCTAGCTTGTGGTCTGGTCTTCTAATTCTCAGTATTTTGTTTACCCTGTCCGTAGTCCTTTAATATCTCTGTCTTTATTAACCATGTTTGATTTCATAGAGTCCCTATAGTGTGGGAGCAGGCCATTCAGCCCACCAATGCCCCTCTGAAGAGCATCCCATCCAGATTCACCCCTTTACCCTTGCATTTCCCATGGCTAACCCACCTAGCCTGCACACCCCTGGACAATTTAGCTTGTTCAATCCACCTAACTTGCACATCTTTGGACTGTGAGAGGAAATAGTGCAGACATGGGGAGAACATGTAAACTCCACACAGACAGTCACCCAAAGCTGGAATCAAACTCAGGACGCTGGTGCTGTGAGGCAGCAGTGCTAACCACTGAGCCACCATTCTGCCTTTTGCATGTGAGAGTATTTGAGGTTTTGAAGGGGAAAAGTTTAGATTACACAGTAATAGACTAATTGCTTACAATAAATAAAGTTCTTTTGCTGCTACTGACAAAACCTGTGAATTACTTTGACCTGAGTAATAGTCAGTTAGGTAATCTCGTCATTTAAATGGATTGGCCAGGCTAAATTGCCCATAATATCCAGGGATGTGCAGGCTAGGTGTATTAGCTATGCGAAATGCAGGGTTACAGGGATAGGGTAAGGGGGATCAGTCTGGGTGGGCTGCTCTTCGGAGGGTCAGTGTGGACTCGATAGGCTGAATGGCGTGTTTCCACAATTTGATCCTCAGTCAGCAGTGCTAATTCTCTCCTCCTACCATTTTTCCTATAAGATCCTGTTGACTTAAGAATCTGCAATATTCATTTCCATTCCTGACCATGTTGCAACCATGTCTCAGTAACACGTACCCCATGTCACATTCTGAATTGAAATTGTATCTGTCATTCAATACTAGCATGAATTTAGCTACTTGCGACAGATATTCCACCTACATGTTAACATGAGGGTATTTGTTTTATTAACCTTCCTCTTTGTAAGTTGAGATTGTGGCCATTTGTCTTTGATTATTATGCTTGACTTCATTTGGTCAGTCACATGTTTTGGAAGAGTGAATTTATAATTTAAGTTTTGTTGCATTCTGCACTTTGTTTTCACATATGTAAGTGTTCGTGTGAGTTACTGGCTCCTTCTGTCTTTAGATATGAGATTTTGTTCAAACAACAAGTTGGCACAGAAGATGTGTTTCTCGGCATGAGCAGAAAGGATAACTCCACAGCCTGCTGTGAAGACATGGTGGTGAGTATTGGGAATGCATGTTTAAATGTAAGAACTATGTAAAAAAACTGTAGGATATTGAATGGTTTGTATACACACTCGATGAACAAGGGTTTTATGAAGAAATGTCATCAACTGTTTAATGTGGTATATGCCACCTGCTGATTACATGAAAGTCAAGTGGCTTTGGAGAAAGCTTTCAAGGGGACAGAAAATGGGTTTATGGCTTTTAATTATGGGAAAACCTGATTTGGAAAACCTACATGGGCTTTCTGGACTTCCTGTTTGACAGACCTGAGTAGTTAATAAGGAAAACACTCCAGAAACTGCAAGTCTCCATCCTCCCAGTAGAAGTTTATGGGAAGTTGATAAAATTTCCAAATATTGGTAATTCTGACTACTTTATACTCTCTGAAAAGCTGAACTGTGGCCACTTCTTGATTTCAAATTGTTCTGAAGATTTTATATCAATCAATGACTGTCTGCATTTCCATTTTGTCAACAGGAACCTGGAGGACCAATGAGAAATCATCACGTTCTATACTTTGTTTTGTGACTCTTGGCCAACTGGAATATTTTTCCCCTTTTGGCCTCTTTTCTAAAGCACCTACTCTGAAGAGGCTGTTGTATTTTTGCGTTACACGTGTGTGTCTGTTTTTATGATTAATGGATATAATTCTAAATCCAGATTATAATTTAGATGTTAACCAATGTTTGCCATTTGAAATGCCATAAAAAGAACAGTAACTCCCTGGTTAAAATCTTTCAGCTTTGAGTGTATGCAATGGAAAGCATGAGTTGTGCTTCATTTAAAAGTGAAAGGTGAGTTTAGGTTAGTAGCTTTTTGTGTGACCAGAGGGTGCCAATTTACAAATATTTGATTTATGAATGCTGCCCCACACAGGGGTGTAATTTTAAATATCAAGCATAGGAACATTTTCCATACTTAACGAATGGCTGCTTTCCAATGTCCTGCATTGTGCTTCAACATACGCACAAGTGGACTTGCAAATGGATTCCAGGACAGAACCTTTTAACAACCTGGGGACTTCCAGTAGAAGTGAGTGTCAGTTACTTTGAAAGAAGTCTTGTTTTGCAAACATAAATGGTTTTCTTGTGTCTAAGAAATTAACATTTTTCTCATCTGAAGTGGTTTTATGTTCAATGGAGTAGTGGGAATGTGTTAAAAATTCATTTGTGGGATGTTGTCGGCTGGGCCAGAATTTATTGCCCAGGGCAGTTAAATCAGTTAAGATTCAACCACATTACAGTGAATCTGGAGCCATATGTAGGCCAAACCAGATAAGGATGGTAGACTTTATTCCATAAAGGAATTAGAGAACCAGGTAAGTTTTTATGACAAACAACAGTAGTTACATAGCATGGAAACAGACTCTTCGATCCAACTTGTCCATGCTGATCAGGTTTCCCAAATTAAACTAGTCCCATTTATCTGTGTTTGACACATACCCCTCTAATGGCCACCTTAGGCTAGTTTTTTTGTCCCAGATTATTATTTCATGAGGGGACTCCAACTAATGTCCCCAGAACATTAGTTTGGGATTTTGGAATACTAGTCCAGTGACCTTACCAATACATCACTGTCTCTCTGTTACAATATAAACGATGGATTATTCTCAATCTGTCGCTGTGTGAGGTAAAATAGTTCTTTTGTCAAGTCAAATACGCAAGCTATTGTTACTACATGATTATGTCACCTAATAAATGAGTTAGTGAAAATGAAAAAGAAGCCCTTGAAAAAATAATTATGTCCTGTTTCCAAACATCTGCAGTACTTACACCGTTTTATGATTTGTTTGATGCTGAGGATTTGTAAGTATGCTTAGTTTGAATTTAAAATGAATTTAAAAATCACTCAACCTTGTTAAACCCTGGTCCCAATTTTGAGGACATCTGCTTCAGATCCCCCACTCAAAACAGTTGCAGTCACCTCATCATGAAGTAGTTGCAGGATTGTGATAAGGTTTCTTGAATGCCCAAATTCCTGGAGCACAATTCACGGAGCCTCACCTGTACCAAGTGAAATGCTTTTGTTTGATTGATGAATGCTGTGAAGAGTTCCTAGTGCTCTTCTCCACCTTTTTCTTGGAATTGTCTGGCAACAACAATTGTATCAGATGTTCCTCTGGAAGGTCTAAAGTTATGCAGTATCTGTGACAGAATTTCCTCAGTTACAGGAAGTGGCAATTCAGGCAATTGTGTTTTAGGATTTTTTCTGCTCTGGACAAGAGGGAAGTACCTTGATACTTTCTACAGTGTGATTTACCTCCCTTCTTGAAGATTGTCACATTCCTGAAGACAGGGTTGGGACAGCCCTTTATCTTCCCAAATCTGCAGGATGGATGTGCAGAATCTTGACGTGAGTAAAAGCCCACCAACTTTGCAGACTTTAGCTAGCACTTATCAGGGCTGCAGACTTTGTTTGATTGCTTGTTGCAGCTCTGCCATCAATAGTCATTTGCCTGCGATTCTTCCACAGGCACTAGAGAATCCCCTGGAACTGTCACTACATATTTGTTCTAGAGGAGTCATCGGAAATATTTTTTCAGCATTGATAGATCGTGTTGTCATCTTCGAGTAGAAAATACAATCCTGTGAATGAAGGAGAGTTTGTCCATTTGACATTGGTTTGGAGATGTTCTTCAAAAAAGCTTCATATGTCTTGATGATCAGCATGCTTTGGATCTTTTGGGATTTCTGTTCTATCACATGTCCTTTATTTTCTAGATTTATATTTAGATATCAGCCTTGAGTTGCAGGATGCTGCCTTCTTGACCTTTGTTCTTGGGCTGTTATGCCAATGAGGACTGCTCATCTTTGTTTGAGGAGAGCTCACATGTCAGCATTGCTTTCATCCAGTTAATGCTGGTAATGATGGTGCTCAATCCCAATGGTCTAGGCATTAATGTCTAGTACAGCTAACCTCACTTGTTCATACTGTTCTGGAATTGAGTTGAATGTTTGAAGCTTTTCTAGTTTGGATATGCACATGGAATTCCTATTCATATCCTGGCTGTCTTAGGGCTGAAACGTTGATTTACTTCCTCTGGGCTGTTTTGGTCTTGTGACATCTTGGTGCTGTGTGGATTTTCATCTCCGAATTGATGATATACGCAGCAGGCATCAGTTCCTTTCACAAATCAAGTGATACAAACATCACTTTGATATTTGGATCATACAAGGGCATGTGTTGCAGGCAGTGCCAGTACTTTGATGTGAAATACCTGTATGTATTTCTTGAGGATGGTTGGGATGAATAAAAGAAGCAAATAGAAGCAAAAATACTGAAATTATTTCAGTTTTTTGAATTGTTGAATTTACTGTAGACAACTTTTCATTTTTATTTTCAAAACTGTTTTTCAGATAAAAATCAAGCTACCAGATTGCAAACCAGCAGATGTCACTCTGGACATCAAAGAATGCTTTCTTGCTCTTCGATCGCCTGACTAGTAAGTGAGAGACATTGCTGAAGTAAGGCCTTCCTGTGAAATTTTAGGAAGTCCATCTGAGGCTGTGGGTGAAGAGACACAAGGCAAGTCCTGCTTTCTCAACTTGCTCTGGTGACCACAGCCCAAATCTGACAAAACGTCACTCAGCCCCTCGTCAATTTAACACATTCAGATACTCGATTCTGATAATGTTTGGTTAGAAAATAAATTGATTTACCAGTGTAATGGAGCTGGTCTTCTTTAGATGCAATGTTGAGAATTTGAATGAATCCAGCATTTATCCTTGTGATCGAAGCATATCCTTGTGTACAAGATGATGAGAGGCATAGATAGAGTGAATAGTCAGAGACTTCTTCCCAGGACGGAAATGACTATTACGAGGGGGCATAATTTTAAGGTGATTGGAGGAAGGTATGGGGGAGATGTCAGAAGTAGGTCCTTTACACAGAGAGTGATGGGTGTGTGGAATGCGCTGCCGGCAGTGGTAATGGAGTCAGATACTTTAGAGACTTTTAAGCGACTCTTGGATTGGCACATGGAGGATAGTAAAATGTAGGGTATGCAGGGTAGTTTGATCTTAGTAGGATAATAGGTCAGCACAACATTGTAGGCCAAAGAGCCTGTACTATGTTGTACTGTTCTATGTTCTATGACAGTGAGGCTTATATGAACTTGCTGCATGCAAATTGCCTACTGCATTCCCTACATGACAATAAGTGTATTCCAGCAAATCAAAAGTACTTCATAGTTTGTAAAGTGCTTTGAGTTATTCAATGGTGTGGAAGGCATTGTATAATTGCATTTTTGTTTGTATCTATATTTAAGACTGATAGCATAAGCTTTGCTGGGCCTTCATCTTTTTCACTGTCAACCATCCCTTTAAGTCCTCTGCTGCATCCCTTCTCATTTTTGCTAAATTTCATCTTTCTATTAATTGTCTTGAAACCTATTAGCACTCCAGTTTCTATCTTCCACCTGACTGAAGCCCCCTTCTGTGAGTATTAATTCCCTACCACCCAATGTCAGGCAGATGATGGCCAAAGAATACTGAGGTCTTGCCCTTTAGGTAGAGAGGAGCAACATGTCCTTGGCCAATTCGATCATTCAGCTAATTATTTGCCCTGTTACACTGTGCTTAATCAAAAATCTCCCAAGCTAAAAAACGATAAAAGACGTCATTTAATAAAACATGAACTGCAAATGGAGAAAATCTGAAGCAAAAGCAGAAATTGGTAGAGAAACTCAGCAGGTCTTGCAGGTTCTGTGGAGAGAAAACAGAGTTAAATGTTTCGGGTATAGTGGCCCTTCTGCTTAAATCTAATAATATAAAAGAAGAGTGCAAGAGTTCTTTTAGAAATATAAAAAAATAAGAAAGAGGCAAGAGTGGACATTGGACCACTGGAAAATGAGGCTGCAGAAGTAGTAATGGAGAACAGAGAAATAGTGGGGGAACTGAATTGGTACTTTGCAACAGTCTTCTTAGTGGAAGATACCAGCAGCATATCAAACCATCAAGGGAGTCAGGGGGCAGTGGTGAGTACAGTGGCTATCACTAAGGAGAAAGTGCTGGGGAAGCTGAAAAGTCTGAAGGTGGACAAATCACCCAGACCAGATGGACTAGACCCCAGAATTTTGAAGGAAATAGCTGAGGAGATGGTAGGGGCATTGGTGGTGATCTTTCCAGAATCATTGGGGAATAGGGGAGGGTCTCAGGGGACTAGAAAATGGCTAAGGTAACCTCCCCCTGTTTAAGAAGGGAGGGAGGCAGAAGACAGGAAATTATAAGCTGGTTAGCCTGACCTGTATCGTTGGTCAAATTCTAGAGTCCATTGTTAAGGATAAGATTGTGGAGTACTTGGAATTGTAGGATAATAGGGCTGAGCCAGCATAATTTCATCAAGGGGAGGTCATGCCTGACAAATCTGTTAGAATTCTTTGAGGAAGTAATGAACAAGTTAGACAAAGGAAAGCCAGTGGACATGATCTATTTGGATTTCCAGACAGTCTTTGACAAAGTGCTGCACAGGAGGCTGCTAAGGGATGAGGTACTGGCAGAAGGCAGAGAGTGGGATAGAGGGGTCTTTTTCGGGAAGGTAGCTGGTGACTGTTGAAATTCCACAGAGGTCAATGTTCGAACCACAACTATCCACATTATACACTAACGATTTAGACAAAGGAACTGAAGGCATTGTTTCTAAGTTTTCAGATGACACAAAGCTAGGTGGAGGGACAGGTAGTCTTGAGGCTGCAGAAGGATTTGGTCAGGTGAGGAGAATGGGCAAAGAAGTGTCAGATAGAATACAGTGTGAGAAATTGTGAGGTTATGAGATTATTAGGAAGAATAGAAATAAATTAGCATTATTGTCACATATACTCAAACGAGTGCAGTGAAATGTTTACAAGTTGCCACTTGCGGCGCCATCTTAGGTACAAAATACCTCGGTGCAGATCTTCTGTACAAGTTCTTAGGAAAAAATTAAGAAAAAAAATTAGGAAAATAAAGAAATAAAAGATCCAACATTGCATAACGTAGGAATAAATTAGAAAATAGAGAAATGAAAAGTTCAGAACAACAGTCTGTTGTGATTAGGTGTAAAAATTATTTTAAACACAAGTAAAATTTTGTCTTGTCCTTAGAATAGGTGCAGATGTGACAGCTACATTCCAAAATACAGCAGCAAAATATTTTCATATGGTATTTAGTAGTGAGTCAGAAATTACACTCTTTTGGATACAGGTGCATATCAATATAAATTTAGAAAATTTGTAAACTTTTGGAGTTCTTAGCTGACACATGGCAAATAGTTTTCCTTGCATCAAATAATATATAATCTGGGGTATTCGAGTCACAATAACGAAGATGTTATTTTTATTTGTTGAAGCTTTTGTTCTGCAGTAAATTTAAATGGTTAAGCAGCTAGTGCATGATAAGTAGTTGGACTGCAATACTTTAAAGTGTTGACTTGTGTTTCTGAGTTAATTTACACTTGGAATTTTTCACTTCATATCTGCTAGGCTGTTAACTTTAGGATCTTGTAGTTTAGCTGCTGAGTGCTTTCCAAAGGCAATACTGCAGATTCTGGAAATCTGGCATGATAAGAGTCTTTTCCATAGGGTGGGTGAGTTCAGAATTAGGGGGTATATTTTAAGGTGAGAGGAGAAAGAGATTTAAATAGGACATGATGGGCAACCTTTTTATGAATGGAATGAATGTCAGAGAAAGTGGTGGATGTTTAAAAGATATTTGAATAAGTACATGAATAGGAAATACTTGGAGGGATATGGGCTAACCGCTGCCATGTGGGACTAGTTTAGTTTGGGAACGTGTTCGGCATGGACTAGTTGGACCGAAAGATCTGTTTCCATGCTGTATGAATCTGACATTAAAACAACAGTCCTTCCAACACAGTCCATGCCGGCATCTAGTCTCCAGTGCACACTGGGCCTTGACTTCAGACTGCAGAGTTTCACTTTGAGGCTCTTGAGGCCAGCAGACCGCTCTGGAGTCACCTTGGAAGTCCATGCTGAGAGCACACCAGGCCAAAAGACGGCCACAGGCCGCCGAAAGACTGCCATGCCAGGTCGAGCAACCACCATGTGCTGCCAAGTGACCACCACATCAGGCTGGGAGATCGGGACACTAGGCCAAGAAACTGCCACGCCGGGCCAAAAGACTGCTGGGCCAGGAGACTGCCAAGTCAGGCCGGGACACTACCACATCAAGCTGGGAAACTGCCATGTCAGGCCAGGAAATAGCTACATGCCACTGAGCAAATAGCACATCAGGCCACCGTGAGACCACCACGTCGGGCCAAGAGACTGCCACGCCAGGCCAGGACACCACCATGTCAAGCTGGGACACCGCCTCGCTGGGTCTGCTGTGAGGTTGAGAGTCTGTGTCTGTGCCGAGGACTGTAACCTCGAGAGGTGTAGACTATTCTCTAAATGAAGAAAGGCTTCAGAAGCCTAAAGTACAAAGGGACTAGGAGTCCTAGTTCAGGATTCTCTTAATGTTAACATGCAGGTTCACTTGACAGTTAGGAAGACAAATGCAATGTTTGTATTCATTACAAGAGCAGAGATGTACTATTGAGCCTGTATAAGGTTCTGGCCAAAACACATTTGAAATAGCACCTGCCTACGGACGAATACCGCTCACGCTTGGACATAGAGCA